TTACTTCTTTTTTTTTCTAGCTAATTCTGATGATGTTCTTTGAATCTTCTGTAGTGGGAATTTCAAGTCGGTCCAGCTGTTGGCATCTCAGCTGGTGACGAGTTGTGGGTTGCCCGTTACATTCTTGAGGTAAATACTTGAATTTATTGATTGTATTGATGCTACAGTCTGCAATTTGCTTTTGGACTAAATTAGTAAATTTTAACTCTTTCTTGCTTTCTGTTATGAAAACAGAGGATCACCGAGATTGCTGGCGTTGTCCTAAGCTTCGACCCAAAGCCTATCCAGGTTAGCTTCTCTTTCAATCCCAGCTATTCTTCCTCTCTCAACTTTTCCATATCTTGCTAGAAATTTAGTAACTATATAGTTTTTAGCTACTGGATAGCTTCTCTTTCAATCCCAGCTATTCTTCCTCTCTCAACTTTTCCATATCTTGCTAGAAATTTAGTAACTATATAGTTTTTAGCTACTGTAAATCTTCCCATTCTTTGTCTTCCCCCACCCTTGGAGTCGTGGTAAATTCAGTGGAAGAAGAAATTAGACATTTTTATTCTATTCTCTATAGGAATAAGAAAGCAATTTTTGGCTCACCTTAGAACTAACCTTAGCATATTGGAGTAATTTTTCTTCTCTTAAAAAAGCATTAAGATATCTTTATTGACCTATTAATTACATTTTTGTTGATATCAGGGAGATTGGAATGGCGCTGGTGCCCACACAAACTACAGGTGAGATAAGTCACTTTGCGAAATCTCACTTTGTTTCTCTTTACTTCATATGAATAGAGTCTAAAAATGTATTTTTTATCTAAAATTTACTCTTTTGTTCATTTGTATTTGTTGCTCAGCACAAAATCCATGAGAAAGGAGGGGGGATATGAAGTCATCAAGAAGGCAATCGAGAAACTCGGGTTGAAGCACAAGGAGCACATTGCTGCTTATGGAGAAGGGAATGATCGACGTCTTACTGGAAAGCACGAGACTGCCGATATTAACACATTCAAATGGGTATGTACTAACTTTTTTCTCAGCATTATAAAACATAACAGATGCTCTTGAAAAAATTTGATACTTGACTTTTTCTTTCGTTTGAATTTTCAGGGAGTTGCTAATCGTGGTGCTTCTATCCGAGTTGGTCGTGACACTGAGAAGGAAGGCAAAGGTTAATATCTCGTCATTTCTCTCGGGTTATTAAATTTTCCTGAAAGTCACTGTAAGATTTTACTTACTCAGAAAAACATCGAATTGAAACATCAACATTGTTTACCATGACATGACAATCATTTTTCACACAGGCCTTAATGAAAAGATTTACTATTGCCTTTGGTGCCCTCCCTCCACAGGCAACTCTTCTTTTTTGTGACAACAATGGTGACTATAAACCACCTGGAAGAGAGAAAAAAAAATAAAAACTTTAGAAGTTACAGAATTGAAACAGTTGTACTACTAGGAGGGGTGCGATAAGAATCTCAGCCAATAACAAAATACTAACCTCCCGAAAAGAGCATGGATAAATTAGTATCCAGTTTTCCAAAGATTTTTAATTGTTTATCCTAGAGTTTCATATTCCATAACTTGTACCAATCACTTGTATATCAATTTCATTGCTAAATTTTCCTAATAATTTCCCCTATTTTTGCAGGTTATTTTGAGGATAGGAGGCCGGCTTCAAACATGGATCCGTATGTGGTTACTTCCATGATTGCTGAGACCACCCTCCTCTGAAAGCCGTATGTGCCTACAAAACCAGATCTCTGTCCATTTGACTCGATTCAGGGCAGGATTTTGAATCTCTGTGGCGTTTCAGTTGCAATCTTCAGCTTTTATTTCCCATTCTTGGTTTGAGTTGTCGTAGTCATTGTTGGCTTTATTGTGGTGTTTGTATTTTAGAGAGTCCTGTTGGGATTTATTAGCGATTGTTCTCACTAATGCCCTGTGGCATTTTACTCTGAAAGCCCTTTCTTATTGAAACAATAAACATCCCAATTAATGATAATAATAATGTAAAACTCCGGATCCTTCTCGTTGCGATTTGGCAAATCCTTGACTACGTTCTTATTTCGCTCTGCATAATTAATGTCTATTGAGAAGAATTATGAATTTTTATGCATTTCTTTGACTTGAATGTGTGTATGTATTCATTCATGGTTGTTGCTGGTGAATTTGAACCGTGGATGAACTCTGGAGGCAGTGCAGAGTCTTGACCAGGTATCCATGGTCGCTTTAGTTGATGGTAGCGTTTGGTGACATGCTTTTTTTTTTTTTTACTTTAAAGCAAAGGTTTTGATTGGGCCCGAGACTTATTAAAGACGGAATTTGGCAAGGGGTTAAGAGAGAATGGTTATAAAGAGGGGTTAACTTTGTTAACCCTTTATGAGGGATTAAAATTAAATTAATCTCCGATCGGATCACGCATTCGGCATGAAGAGTTGACTTTTGCTTTTTTTTTATGTTTGGCAAATAAAGAAAGGATAAGTCGGTTAATCCCTCTCATTTTCCTAAAATACCAACTTCAAACTTATTGAAAGTTTAGACAATCACTACATTAGAATTTTGCGTTCATCTAAAAGATAAAACTATTATCATTTCTGTATTATTTACATAAATGGTGCGAAAAAAGCTAGTAAAAATCAATTTAAATTAAAAGCAAAGTGCACTTGATACTATAGCAAAAAAAATGAATATATTATATATAATATATTATATATATATATAATATATATATATATATAGTAGAACTTGTGTCAACTTAAGTGGATAGTGAATAGTGTGTCCACCAAACTTTATATCCACTCATTTAACATATAAAAAGTCACTTCATATCATGCAAGGATCCTAGGAAACATCTAAGGGTTAAAAAGTTTAGTGGATGTCCATTTAAGTGGACACAAGTTTTGCTCTATATATATATATATAAATGATTTAAGGACCCAAAATATGAGACCAAATAAGGGGACACATCACCTGTCCCTTCCATTGATCCCATATTTTAGGTCCCGCGTAACAGCACTCGTGTGTGTATATATATATATAATATATATATATATATATATTATATTATATAATATATATATATATATATATATATATATATATATATATATATATAATATATATAAAGATAATGTCTTTGGAAAAGGCCAAACTTTCCACTTCATTTATATCACACACCAATCACCCACATAGGCATGTAACTTCCCACGGTGCCAACTACCTTCAAGTCAAACTTTGCAGCTATAAATTGATTTCCTTCATTATTTATTCGAAATTCCATCGGCTACCCTTCGCGTAAGGAGGGCGGGGTAGCTTTTGCTCCGCCTTCTAAAGCGGAGTTGTTAAGGGGTTGCGTGTTTTTCTTTGGAGAGTGAGGACAAGTCGTCAAAGCGTGCGTGTCTTTATGTAGCTTTCCAAGCTTTACGGCGTTTGGGTACGACACTTCAACGATGGAAAACAAGCTTACGTGGCAGCCTAAAATCTGATGTGGCGTAAAAGACAGGAATTGCTACAATATTGAGCAAATTGGGCTGAAAGCTGCAAGATGTCATGCAGCGGATAGTGGTTAAAAAAAAAAAAAGAAAATCGACAAGGTTACCATCGTTTGGAATTTTATCCCACCGCAATTCTCATTTTTCTCTCAGCTGACGTATGGTCCCTGACATTTATATTTTCGTGGTAGGTATACCTCTGCTTGTTCAATTATTTTACATTCATTTATACTCCAAATTTAAATCCATGATCAGATGACTTCTGATGTTTATCAGTTTTTTTGGTAAACTGACACACTTTTAGTCCATCTCTTACTAAGTCATCTTAATTACAATTCATTATTGAGTTTCCATGCCTAAACCCTTCATCCTCCATGGAAAATTTATCCAAAAGGAAGTTAACTCTTCAAACTTCAGAAACCGAAGAAATCCTTCTAGTCTTCCACAATCATTTGGGGTTCTGTACAAAACAATCATAAAACTCGAACTCTCAAATCTGTAGAAAAATACCACATACTACCAGAAATTAGCCTAACGGGGGGTTAAACATTGTGATAGGAAAACAAATATACGACGAAAGTAAACACAAAAATGTACAAAAATGGTCAACTGCATATCAAATAACAACTCACAAAGATGTCTGAAAATTTTATGTTATTTCTCTTCATATCTAAAATCCCTTAAAACACAAACTTTATATGTGTTTGATATTGAGCATAGCTTTCGACTAGACTTGGGAGTTAGACTTGGCGGACTCCTGGTGGCAGCAATTGTAGAAGATTCCCCAAGGATCCCAACAATAGGCTCGACCTCATCCTCATTCGCTGATAAATCCAACCCGCCTCTAATTTTCTCGGCATCTTTCAACAAGTCAAGGCAATAGGAGACGCAGGAAGGATAGAAACGATCTGAAGTCGGATGAGAGTTAAGAGGCACCATGGAAGTGAAGTAATCAACCCTAGCTTTACATGCTAAGGCTACTTCGATCTTTTCTATAGGGCCATGATGCCAGTTGTCGACCACCTTCTTTTTATGCTGCTCTGAATCCAAATGAGCGAGTCTGTCCTTCAATTTTTCAACAAGGGTCATGAACGCCAGTTGGCTGATAGATCTGTTAAGGTCCCTATGGGTGAGTTAGAGGATGTTCTAATTAAGGTTGGAGATTTTATTTTTCCAGTTAATTTTGTAGTCTTAGAAACACAGTCTGTTTCCAATCCCAAAGGACAGACACTTGTCATCTTAGGACGATCTTTCTTAGCCACTTCTAATGCTCTCATCAACTGCAGAACTGGTCAAATGAAACTGTCCTTTGGGAATTTGACTGATGATCTCAACATTTTTAATCTAGGGGACCAACCAAATAATCAGTCTCTAGAAATAAATTACATTCAGGAAAGATCAGAAGAAGAAGAAGAAGAGACTGATTTGAGTTTTGAGGAAATTTTTGATAAAGAGTTGGAGTTTTTAGAAGAAGCAGATCAGGTCCTTGAGAATAATGAAACTGTGTTAAACATTTGCTGCTTTGAATTAAATTTTGAAGAACTCTTTCTTGATGAACTTAGATTCTTAGAGAATAATCAACAACCAAATTTTCAGAACTCTACAGAAGAATTGGTTGTTAGAAAACAAAACTTCACACAAGAGTCTGAGTTCATTAAGAAATACAAAATACATGACACCAATAATACCTACCTTACTTTATTGCAAGAATTATTGAACACCCCGAAATGCTTGGAATTTCACATTATTGATTATATCATTCTGAATTTATTTAAAATCCGGGGAAGAATTTTAATAATAAGGTAGGATTCAATGTAGAATACGAGCTCTTCGTGTTGAACACTTCATTCTACATTATTTGTTTTGTTTATTTCAGAATAATAAAAAGAATTTATTATTCTCTCATTCGAGAGTTTCTTATTCAGAAAAAAAGAAAAAGAAAAAAAAAGAAAAGAAAAAAAAAAGAGAAAGAAGAATAATTTTTTTTGATTCCATCCTCCTCAGACCAAAGGTAATTGCAGATTTTTATCAGCCGACCAAATGTAAGTATTACCAAATGTAAGTATTTCACTTCTTATCTGCTTTACTTTGTGTATCATAGAGTTTGCATTGAGGACAATACAAAATTTAGGTGTGGGGGTGGGAATTAGTGTATCATAGAGTTTGCATTGAGGACAATACAAAATTTAGGTGTGGGGGTGGGAATTAGTTATTTTTTCTATTTGTTTTATATTTTTTGTTGCATTTTTTCCTTTTCCTAAAAAAATTTTATAAAAATATCATCACTTGCCAAATTGATAGAGTTGTGTAATAATTGATTTATTTGATAAATTTTAAATTTTCTAATCTGCTATTTACTCAAGTTCACCTTTTATGATAACTCTAAATAAAGTTCTTAAGAAATAATTTTCAAAGTAGTATACTTTACTTAAGCCTTAACTTAGATTTTTATTTAAAATAATGGAATGCATGCTTAGCTTAAAGTTAAAAATAATTTTTCAAAGTGGCTTGACTTACATATTTTTCAGAATATATACACATATACATATATTGCAAAAGAAGAGTGCGAAAAATGGGCACAAAAAAAACTCTTAAATTCAAGGTGATTCTATCTTATAAAGCCTAAGCTGATCGAGTAATTACGCCGAAGGAGTATTTTCATACTTAATGACTTAAGCCCAATTGGGTTGGGATCCATTGGCCCAAAACTCATTAAATGGTCGCTTAGAAAGCCCGTTAAAGTAGAAAAAAATCACCAAGGAAGAAAGAGTTAAAAATAATATAAAAAATAAAAATAAAAATAAAAATACTAATAAATGTTTTATATATGTATATATGGTCTTGGAAAATATTTTAAATTAAGCAACTTGAATATTATTTTAAACAAAGAGTTAGCATGTTCTTTTCAAAACTTTTAAATTAAATTTCGAAGTTTGGCTTGGTTTTGTATTGCTATAATGAGAAGATTTTCTAGAAAATTTACCTTAGAGTTATATATAAAAATGTTTTCTTGAGTAATAACTAGCTTTAATTATCAAGTAAATTTAATTATTTACTAACTTCTTTAATTTGGCAAGATGACCGAATTTTGTGGGTATATTCACTGCAAACCCTCACGAGACTACAACTCGTCCACTAGGGTAACCTAGGGGTTTAAAGACTTATTGTATGCGCTAAATACAACCGCGATTCCTGCAAAAGTAAGTTAGGATTTTCTTTTTCTTTCTTTGCTAGAAGGCTAGCAAAAGTTTAGGTGTGGGAGTATTTGATAATCATATTTTATTATAATTTTATACCCTCATTATCTATTTTTAATGAATAAATATATCACTAATAATTATTTTTATCTTTAGTTGCAGGTTAATGAAGAATAAAGCCCAAAAATCTCATCTCTCAATAAAGCCCATGAATTAATGAAGAATATATGCAAATACATGAAAGAGCCCAAGCCCAAGTCCAAAAGCCTAAAGCCAAAGCCAAATAAAAGAGAAAATCAGTGGATTGCAAAAGGAGGGATATGGGTATCGATGCCAGCATCGATGCTAGCATCGATACCCGTATCGATGCCAGCATCGAT